GCTCGACTGTCGTGGTTATTTACAAGTATCCTGCTCGACTGTCGTGGTTATTTACAAGTATCCTGCTCGACTGTCGTGGTTATTTACAAGTATCCTGCTCGACTGTCGTGGTAATTTACAAGTATCCTGCTCGACTGTCGTGGTTATTTACAAGTATCCTGCTCGACTGTCGTGGTTATTTACAAGTATCCTGCTTGACTGTCGTGGTTATTTACAAGTATCCTGCTCGACTGTCGTGGTTATTTACAAGTATCCTGCTCGACTGTCGTGGTTATTTACAAGTATCCTGCTCGACTGTCGTGGTTATTTACAAGTATCCTGCTCGACTGTCGTGGTTATGTCGCTCGACTGTTATTATTTACAAGTATCCTGCTCGACTGTCGTGGTTATTTACACGTATCCTGCTCGACTGTCGTGGTTATTTACAAGTATCCTATCTGCCTCGACTGTCGTGGTTATTTACAGTATCCTCTCGACTGTCGTGGTTATTTACAAGTATCCTGCTCGACTGTCGTGGTTATTTACAAGTATCCTGCTCGACTGTCGTGGTTATTTACAAGTATCCTGCTCGACTGTCGTGGTTATTTACAAGTATCCTGCTCGACTGTCGTGGTTATTTACAAGTATCCTGCTCGTATCTGCTCGACTGTCGTGGTTATTTACAATCCTGCTACTGTCGTGGTTATTTACAATCCTGCTGCTCGACTGTCGTGGTTATTTACAAGTATCCTGCTTGACTGTCGTGGTTATTTACAAGTATCCTGCTCGACTGTCGTGGTTATTTACACGTATCCTGCTCGACTGTCGTGGTTATTTACAAGTATCCTGCTCGACTGTCGTGGTTATTTACAAGTATCCTGCTCGACTGTCGTGGTTATTTACAAGTATCCTGCTTGACTGTCGTGGTTATTTACAAGTATCCTGCTCGACTGTCGTGGTTATTTACAAGTATCCTGCTTGACTGTCGTAGTTATTTACAAGTATCCTGCTCGACTGTCGTGGTTATTTACAAGTATCCTGCTTGACTGACTGTCGTGGTTATTTACAAGTATCCTGCTCGACTGTCGTGTGTCGTGGTTATTTACAAGTATCCTGCTCGATTTATTTACAAGTATCCTGCTCGACTGTCGTGGTTATTTACAAGTATCCTGCTTGACTGTCGTGGTTATTTACAAGTATCCTGCTCGACTGTCGACTGTCGTGACTGTCGTATATTACAAGCTCGACTGTCGTGGTTATTTACAAGTATCCTGCTCGACTGTCGTGGTTATTTACAAGTATCCTGCTCTGACGTGTCGTATCCTGTTATTTACAAGTATCCTGCTCGACTGTCGTGGTTATTTACAAGTATCCTGCTCGACTGTCGTGGTTATTTACAAGTATCCTGCTTGACTGTCGTGGTTATTTACAAGTATCCTGCTCGACTGTCGTGGTTATTTACAAGTATCCTGCTCGACTGTCGTATTTTTACAAGTATCCTGCTCGACTTGTCGTGGTTATTTACAAGTATCCTGCTCTGTCGTAGTTATTTACAAGTATCCTGACTGTCGTGGTTATTTACAAGTATCCTGCTCGACTGTCGTGGTTATTTACAAGTATCCTGCTCGACTGTCGTGGTTATTTACAAGTATCCTGCTCGACTGTCGTGGTTATTTACAAGTATCCTGCTCGACTGTCGTCGTGTTATTTACAAGTATCCTGCTCGACTGTCGTGGTTATTTACAAGTATCCTGCTCGACTGTCGTAGTTATTTACAAGTATCCTGCTCGACTGTCGTGGTTATTTACAAGTATCCTGCTCGACTGTCGTGGTTATTTACAAGTATCTGCTCGACTGTCGTGGTTATTTACAAGTATCCTGCTCGACTGTCGTGGTTATTTACAAGTATCCTGCTCGACTGTCGTAGTTATTTACAAGTATCCTGCTCGACTGTCGTAGTTATTTACAAGTATCCTGCTCGACTGTCGTAGTTATTTACAAGTATCCTGCTTGACTGTCGTGGTTATTTACAAGTATCCTGCTCGACTGTCGTAGTTATTTACAAGTATCCTGCTCGACTGTCGTAGTTATTTACAAGTATCCTGCTCGACTGTCGTGGTTATTTACAAGTATCCTGCTCGACTGTCGTAGTTATTTACAAGTATCCTGCTCGACTGTCGTGGTTATTTACAAGTATCCTGCTCGACTGTCGTGGTTATTTACAAGTATCCTGCTCGACTGTCGTGGTTATTTACAAGTATCCTGCTCGACTGTCGTAGTTATTTACAAGTATCCTGCTCGACTGTCGTGGTTATTTACAAGTATCCTGCTCGACTGTCGTAGTTATTTACAAGTATCCTGCTCGATTTACAAGTATCTGTCGACTGTCGTAGTTATTTACAAGTATCCTGCTCGACTGTCGTGGTTATTTACAAGTATCCTGCTCGACTGTCGTGGTTATTTACAAGTATCCTGCTCGACTGTCGTGGTTATTTACAAGTATCCTGCTCGACTGTCGTGGTTATTTACAAGTATCCTGCTCGACTGTCGTGGTTATTTACAAGTATCCTGCTCGACTGTCGTGGTAATTTACACGTATCCTGCTTGACTGTCGTGGTAATTTACACGTATCCTGCTTGACTGTCGTGGTAATTTACACGTATCCTGCTTGACTGTCGTGGTTATTTACACGTATCCTGCTCGACTGTCGTGGTTATTTACACGTATCCTGCTTGACTGTCGTGGTTATTTACAAGTATCCTGCTTGACTGTCGTGGCTATTAACAAGTCTCCGACTTTTCTCGGCATTAATTTCCATACTATATTTACCATAGAAAGTCTCTGTTACTCGAAAACCTACACACAATTACACACATAATTCTAGCACATACTTGCAAGATAAATTTCTTATTAGGTCCATGTCCATAGGGAATTTACTGCTTTCGTCTTCCAGCAACGAAATGTCACTGCCGGAAACAAACCTATGCATGCACGGAGAGGGATCACACTGGAGTTCACATTTGAAAGGGTCCTGGCTAAAAATTGCCTGTACTGAATTAGAAAAGAAAATCATAAGCTAAACTCTTTGAGTCCTAAAAGCAACTCCCGATACATGATGACTCTGTTCCATGATTTCCCTCCAAAGTATAATACGTTCACTTACTTTTAACATCCAGCCAGTAAATACTAAAGAAATTAGACGTCTCGTGGAGGTCATTAAAAAATGTTTAATGACACTTTCAGAGTAATGCATTTACGATTTTTTTTATTTTATTAATCGTAATTTTTTTTTTAAACATATCCCCAGATTAGTCTTCCTGTGATTATTTTATATTCCCAAAATTTAAGCTACGATTGAAAGGACTCGTTTTTTATCGATATTGATGACACCCAAAGGGCCGTAACATTAACTTTAAGGACCATAACAATAGAAGAACTACAGAGGTCGTTCCAGTGACTTGCTGTATCAAGGCACATAGGGCTTACTTTGAATCAGACACAGGTTTTATCTTCAACTGCTGATTATTTTAATTTTTATTAAATTAGCCTCATTACCTAAATGTCGGACCTTGTAGAAAGCGCCCATGGGAACAATGTTGTGTCTCTAGCCACTTCACCGTTTTATGTTACCGACATCATCTCCATAGTAAGACTACTTATAGTATTTTCTTCTCATATTTACATCTCGTCCTTATTAGGATGAAATGTTTCGTTATTTGGAGCCATACTCTGGCTTTTGCCAGGGGCCGCAATATAGCCTGATCATAAATTTGGCCTAAAGGCTGAATGCGGTTTCTGGGAACTTTCCACGGTGATCCTCAACCATATGGTGGCACATTGTGTCATCGGGTGTTTATCGCTTGTGTGATGTCTTGGGTTAGAAAGTCAGTCAGTCTTATTTTCTCAAAATGATTAGGTCTTTTCGAAGCAAACGCCTCGCCCCGCTTTCCGCTTTCACAGTTTTCCTTTGAACCAGACTGTGTCACTAGCTTAAAAAAAGAGCGAGCAGGAGTACAAGATGTAGTGGTTCAAACCAATAGGCGAAGAACCGAGTCCGGTTTAGACGTTAACATTCGAAAAACACAAAATATGGTTATAAACAAAGGGAAAGAGCGGCCAACAGTGAACATGACAGTAGACGGAGAGATTTAAAAACAAATAACAAGTTTCCTTCATCTTGGACGCATAGTAACAGGTGGTGATAGAAGGGATAAAGAAATCAAAGAGAGAACAGGAATGGCTAAAACTTTCTTAAATGATATACATAAAGGCGACCGGCGTGATGTTGAGTAAATCATCCACCGAGTGTCGATCGGTCTATAAACTATAGGCCTGGCTCAATATGTTCAATTGGCTGTGGAATAGTGTTATTTGTTTTACTATGTTCATAGTCTCGGAATAATGAGAACTACTACTACGACCACCACCACCACCACTACCACTACTACTACTACTACTACTACTACTACTACTACTACTACTACTACTACTACTACTACTACTACTACTACTACTACGTCTACTACTACTACTACTACTACTACTACTACTACTACTACTACTACTACTACTACTACTACTACTAACTACTAACTACTACTACTACTACTACTACTACTACTACTACTACTACTACTACTACTACTACTACTACTACTACTACTACTACTACTACTACTACTACTACTACTACTACTGCTGCTGCTGCTGCTGCTGCTGCTGCTGCTGCTTCTTCTTCTTCTTCTTCTTCTTCTTCTTCTTCTTCTTCTTCTTCTTCTTCTTCTTCTTCTTCTTCTTCTTCTTCTTCTTCTTCTTCTTCTTCTTCTTCTTCTTCCCTCCGACCAAAAGACCTGATTTTTCGTCCTTTTAAACTCTGGCTTTGTGCAGAGCTTGAGTTTTGCGTGTACAACCACTTCACTGGTTTACTTGTGTGCACAGTGGGGCCCCGGAAACTTCACAAGACAGCAAAATGCAACAGTCATCGACCTAACGAAAATATAACTAAACTAAAGTTCACTTACATTCAATTAGATTTTGTGAACACAACATATAAGTAGCACTGGCCAGCTCGTATTCACTCGGAAAGAATCGCTCAAAAGGCTGAACCACAAAGGGGAGTGTTGTCACGCGAGTTATTCTGTTATCTATAATACATTTGATGTATTTATCGACATCCCTGTGTTGGAAAAAGAGGAAGTATATTAACCGCTGTCTTAACTCTTTCTGTCCTAGACAATTGTTTCTTTAAAATCGTTACATCTTAAGAATTCCTTACTTTAATAAACTGTTCTGGGACTTGAGACGTTAAAATATTAATAGGCAAATGAATTTAAGTAACATCATTATCATCATAAACCACTTCTGCCGTTAAGCGCCTTATGGAGAAATAATTTGCGATCCAGTGCACGCTGGCTGCTACTGGCTATTGTCATGCATTGAAGGCGTAGAATGTCTTTAATGCTGTCGATCCATGTTTTCCGCGGCCGTCCTTTTGCTCTTGTAGCTAATTTTCTGAGATGGATATGCTTGTGATGGTATTTGATATTTAAGTAACAATTGATGCAGAGTTAGTTAGTGTAGCGACAGTTGGAGCACATAGAGTTACGTGAAGTCAATCATACCTCTTCTTCTTTTGCCTTTCTTACCCCTCATGGAGCATAGACTCTCAACTAACTTACGCCAACTCTTTCTGTCCTTTCACAGGCAGCTCTCCCCATGTCCTGCCCATTTTGTTCAGCTCACTCTCCAGCTGCCTTCTCCATATGTTTTTTTAGTATTCCTTTATTCCTATGCCCCTGTGGGTTCAAGTGCAAAGACACTCTAGTTATATTGCTCTCATGTTTTCTCGACGGGTGTCTTATCCAACGTCAGCGTCTTTTCTTCACCTCTTGGTCCACTGGTACATTAGTGATTATATCTTACCCCTGAATTCCAACTTTCTGCGCATACACCAGTTCATAAATGTTTGTAGCTAATTGGTAATTACCTTAGCTGCTCTCCACGTTTCTGCTCCATGCAACTTTACTGATTTGACATTAGAATTAAACATTTTAGGTTTAGTATATTTTAATTTCTTTGACCTTCACAAATTCACCTGTAGTTCTATGAAAGCTCCTTTCGCTTTTTGCTTGCGTATTTTAATATCTCTATCGGACCCCGCCCCCTTCCTCCCCCCTCCCCCATATTTATCTACAGTACTGTCCGAATAGGTGTACGACTCCACGTCTTGCAGTTCGATACCATTAAGAGAAACCACATTAGTATTATTAAAATGTGTTTTTTTTTAAATGCACGCACCAACAAATCCTCTGGTACTTATCCAGCCTGGGTTTGGAAGAGTAGGAATAACCCTCGGAAGTCAGATTTGAGCAGTAAACATCCAATGGTACTTTCTGTGAGTCGACGCCTTGAGCTTCTGAGCCTGCTACATTTTCAGAGAAATAAATTGCACAGGATACATAACAAGTGAAAGTTTGGGTGGGTATGATCATTGTCATCATCATTATCATCGTCCTCATCATCATCATTATCATCATTATCACCGTGTTTATCATCATCATTATCGTCATTATCACCGTCTGAATCATCATCATCATCACCTACTTCATCATTATACCCACATCTGCCGTATGTTTGGTCAATTTTCCTAACTGCCCCTGGTGTTCTTACCGACCCCTGCCTGTCCTTTAGGGATCATGTAGATGCAGTAGCAGTGAAATGCCAAAAAAGACTCAATGCTCTCAAGATTATGACAGCCAATGGACATGGAACAAAGAATGTTGTTCATAGTGTTCCAGCATTTGATCCTGTCGGTGATAGATTATGGACTTGGCATGCTTACCATATCAAAGAGTCAGCCGATAAAACTTGAACGGATACAGAATGAAGCCATGCGGGTAATTCTGGAATGTACAAGAGATACCCCGGTAGTATGTATTCGATATATACTTGCACTGCCTATTATTGCAGATAGGCTCAAAGTTCTGCAAGCACAAACATATTTCAGAGTAGATGCGAAAAAGAGGCACCTCCTACATGAAGATGGATAAAGCTAAGGGTTACAGAATGAAAGAGGAAAGTCTTGGATGGCGCTAGCTAAAGACACAATTGGACATGTGTGCAGGCTTGATAAATTTAGGCGACGAGAGGAGTGGGTCAAAGTGTCTGATCAGGTTTCAGACTTGTGTAGGGTTCTAATCACTTTGGGACGTGAGTGCAGGGACTGGCTAGCTGGTGCTGCAGAATTAAAAGTTCCAAAAATGATTAATGACAATTCACGTCCAAGTGATTTGATTGTACATACAGATGGCTCTGTGTTGAGGGGCTGACGATGTGCATTGGGGTTCTTAGCGAAGACGAATGGACGTCGCTTTGTGCAACAAAGCCTGGCATATGATATCACAACGTCTAGTTTGAGAATGGAGGTGGAGGCAGTCACTGCTATACTCCGCTGGCTTGAGAATCAACTGTACACACATGTGGTCATTATAACTGACTCACAGAGCATGTTGAGAAAGGTGGAGACAGGCAGGCTCCATGCAGAGTGGCACGAATCACTTCAGAGGTCCCAGGTAGTTAGCATCCTTTGGATATTTTCTCCAGGTCATGCCGGTGTGTCTAAGGAGAATGGCACTTCGAGGAGTTACAAGGGGATATGGCCGACGCGTGACACTCAGACTGTTACTAATACCATCAGAATTTAAATCTTCGCTTGCTGCTGAAGATGGGGGCAGAAAGCTTATGTGGGTGTGTAGAATGCTGTGGTGTAGATCCCTAATTCGACATTTAACATTCAACCGCCCCCTGCGCCATTCCATTGCTCATAAAATCTGACAGACGAAGCCACCGCCTCTCAAAGCTCAAAACTTATAGGCCGTAGTGCCAACAATGGTAAGAACCAGCATACAAGACACCAACACCCCCTTTCCATACGTATCTTTCTATCCATCCATAAATACATACGTATACATACATACATACATACATACATACATACATACATACATACATACATACATACATACATACATACATACATACATACATACATACATACATACATACATACATACATACATACATACATACATACATACATACATACATACATACATACATACATACATACATACATACATACATACATACATACATACATACATACATACATACATACATACATACATACATACATACATACATACATACATACATACATACATACATACATACATACATACATACATACATACATACATACATACATACATACATACATCATACATACATACATACATACATACATACATACATACATACATACATACATACATACCGACCGACCGACCGACGACCGACCGACCGACCGACCGACCGACCGACCGACCGACCGACCGACCGACCGACCGACCGACCGACCGACCGCCGACCGACCGACCGACCGACCGACCGACCGACCGACCGACCGACCGACCGACCGACCGACCGACCGACCGACCGACCGACCGACCGACCGACCGACCGACCGACCGACCGACCGACCGACCGACCGACAGACAGATAGATAGATAGATAGATAGATAGATAGATAGATAGATAGATAGATAGATAGATAGATAGATAGATAGATAGATAGATAGATAGATAGATAGATAGATAGATAGATAGATAGATAGATAGATTGATAGAAATTTTTTTAAGGATTAAGAATTGGGCGCACAGGCCTGTCTTACTTTTACCCTTCTGCCCTCACTGCATGCATACATTTGTCATACACAAATCGTTTTAGCCGATACTAATGATCACACTAATATTAATAATAATAATAATAGACATCATCAACAACACAGACAGACAGACAGACAGACAGACAGACAGACAGACAGACAGACAGACAGACAGACAGACAGACAGACAGACAGACAGACAGACAGACAGACAGACAGACAGACAGACAGACAGACAGACAGACAGACAGACAGACAGACAGACAGACAGACAGACAGACAGACAGACAGACAGACAGACAGACAGACAGACAGACAGACAGACAGACAGACAGACAGACAGACAGACAGACAGACAGACAGACAGACAGACAGACAGACAGACAGACAGACAGATGGATAAAGTAACATTAACGCAGTTGCACTCCACATACTGCCTTCGAATAATAAAATGTCTGTGAAGGGCTCTTACATTTTATACCCTTTAGGAGGAAGGGGTGACAAATAAGGATAAACCATTTACAAGAATGTTACAACACAAACCTAATACGTGAATGAGAACTGCTGTAACAATCACCACTATCCTTCTGCATCTGCTCATTGGAACGGGATCTCCTTTTCCAGTATCGAAAAGCTGTTAATAATTCTGAAAAGGAATGACAGTATAAATAAAACTTAATTTTTTTCTAGTACGCTAATATCAGGAGTCGCCATGGTGGAGCGGAAGGTCGTGGGTTCGCTCCCTGGCGGAACATGACTTTTTTTTCAAAAATAACCTTGCTCCCAGGCCAACCAAGCCTTAAGTGGGTATCGGGTGCATTCCCTGGAAGTAAAGGCGGCCGGCGTGATGCTGACCACATCAGCCATCTTGTGCTGATTCTTCTTATTCTTCTGCCTTTCTATCCCCCAATGGAGCATAGGCCCTCAACCAACTCACGCCAAGTCGTTCTATCCTTCGCCATTGCATGGAGCTCTCCCCATATCCTCCCAGTCTTTCTAACCTCGTTATTCAGCTCTCTTCTCCATGTGTTTTTTGGCCTTCCTTTATTCCTATGCCCTTGTGGGTTCCAATGCAAAGACATTCTAGTAATGCTGTTCTCCTGTTTTCTCAGTGTGTGCCCTATCCAACGCCAGCGTCTTTTCCTCACTTCCTGATCCACTGGAGCCTGTTTAGTTCTCTCCCAAAGTTCTACATTAGTTATTCTATCATACCATTTTATTCCTTCTATTGTGCGCAATCACCAGTTAATGAATGTTTGAAATTTATTAGTAATTGCCTTGGTTGTTCTCCATGTTTCCGCTCCATACAATAGTACTGATTTGACATTAGAATTAAAAATGTTTAGTTTAGTATTTCTTTTAATTTCTTTTGACCTCCACAAATTCCCTAGTGCTATGAAAGCCTCTCTTGCCTTTTATATTCTTATTTTAATATCTCTATCAGTTACTCCATCTTTATCTACATAACTGCCTAAATAGGTGTACGACTCCAAGTCTTGGAGTGGGGTGCCATTAAGAGAAACCACATTACTATTTGCCTGATTTATTCTCATTATCTTTGTCTTTCCTTTATGGATTTTCAGACCAAGCTGCTGTGATCTCGCATTAAGTAAATTTAATTTATCTTGCATCTGATTCCATGAATGGGACAGAAGAGCAATATCATCAGCGAAGTCCAGATCATCAAGCTGTTTTGTAGGGGTCCACTGAATTCCATTCTTGGTGTTAGCAGTTACTGTTTTCATAGTCCAGTCTATAGCCAGTAAAAATAAGAGAGGCGACAAAAGACACCCCTGTCGCACACCTGTTTTTATTTCAAATGCATCTGTTAGCTTTCCCTCATGAAGAACTCGACATTTCATGTCTTTATATGTTGCCTTTACTAAGTTGATAATTTTCTGTGGGATTCCATAGTGCCCCATCAATTTCCAGAGAGATTCCCTATCTATGCTGTCAAATGCTTTTTCATAGTCTATAAATCCATTGTAAAGTGGTGAGTTCAGTTCAATGCTTTGCTCTATTATAATACGTAATGTGGCTATCTGATCAGTACAGGATCTGTTTGACCGAAAACCTGCCTGCTCATCTCTCAGCATTTTATCAATAGCATCTTTTAATCTTTCCAAAATAATTCTACTTAATATTTTTGCAGGAACTGACAGCAACATAATTCCTCTATAGTTTTCACACTCCTGTAGATCACCTTTTTTGGGCAGTTTCACAAGATATCCTTCTCTCTAGTCTGCTGGTATTTCTTCGGTCTCCCATACTTTACTGAATAATCTATGTAGCAATTCTGTTGATGTGTTTATGTTGGTCCTGATGGCTTCATCTGGGATACCATCTGGGCCTGTCGCCTTTCCTTCCTTGAGAAGATTTATAGCTTTTCTAATTTCATCTTTGGATGGTATCTCACAGTTGATATCCAGTTCTATTTCTAAGGGCTGGTTATCTGGGGGAACCTCTGGGCCTGGTCTATTTAGAAGCATTTCAAAATATTCAACCCATCTGTCCATTTGATCTTTAGTGTTAGTAAGTACCTTTCCTTGACTATTTTTGATTGATCCAGTTGGCTGACTATATTTACCTACTAATTTTCTTGTGTTACTGTAAAGTTCTCCTAGGTTTCCTTTTGCTGCTGCTGTCTCTGCTTCTTGTGCTAGATCATTTAGATATTTTACTTTATCTGCCCTTATATGCCTCCTAACTTCCTTGTTGGCTTCTGTGTATTTTTCCTGAGCTCTAGCTTTAGCAGCTCTAGTTTTGCTATTGTTTAATTCTGCCTTTTAACTTTTTTGATTGGTCTATGAAATATAGGTCTAGCCTTATATGCCCTATACGCCTAAAGGCGTAATCCTTTACTTTTTTTTTAACACTTTACGCTAATATCATTCGAAATTAAATTTCTGAGGAAAATAATGAAAAATAAAATGGGACACTTCTCAAAAGGAAACAAGAGAAAAATCTGGGCAACCACTGGTATCAACAGTTATAAGGCAGGCAAGATGGCGCTACCTTCGATACCTCCCGAGAAGTCACCAGTAGAGAATCAACAAGCAGGCATTAAGCTGGGAAATAAAGGGATTGAGGAGGCGAAGACGCAGCAAAGACTCACTAAGACCAACGTGGACGAGAGAGGCCAAAGCTGCTGCACTTGATTACATCCTTGACATTAAACTGTTTGCACGGGGTAGAAGGAAATGGAGCAATAGTCTTCGAGCCCTTTGTGGCTTATAATGGCACAACAGGATAACGAATAAATGAATAAATTATTCTGCCAATTACTGCCTTTATGATACCACTTTTGCAGTGTGGGCAGAGGGGTCTTTGAGTCTGAGGATTCAGGCTAGTGCTGTCGCCACGACTGTGCAGGTGAGGATTGTAATTTGAAAAAAAAAAAATCCCAGCCTCACCAAAGATTCAAACCTAGGATGCAATGGATCACATTTCATGGATGGGATAATTATAAAGGAAATGGAACAAAGGATGAAAGGATGGCAGACAGGTTGAGAGAAGAAGCCTAAGAAGAAGTATGTCAAATACATGTGACGACAAAAGTGGTCCTGAAATTGTATGCCCCTATTTTTCTAAAATTCTTATTAATGCGTACTGGTTTTGTTAGTAACCTCTCCCGTGATATGGACAATTGATTCCAATTCCTCACAAAAAGATATTGAAACACAAGTGCTTTGAAAGATTGAATCCCCGTGTGGGTCCCGGGGCCCCACTGAGAGGGAAACCAAGTATAAACCCACTGTCTCCCCAAACAGCATGTCCTCGGAGTCGACTAATTGGTAGCTTCCTTTGAAGTCGGAGTGCATCAGCCCGAGGAGCAAGGATCTACCAACTACACACAAATAGGCCAGTAAAACTGATGCACACGCAAAACTCAGGTCAAAAGTCAAAGTCAAAATGGACGAACAACCAGAACTTTTCGCAGAGCTTACAGCCGGTGAACAAAGAAGAAATGGAATAAAGATTAAATTATACCAACTAGTACTTTTAGGCGACTGAATAATCTTACCAACGCTGTGTCCGTGAAGTCAGCCTGTTGGATATCTACATGCGGATGCTAATTTTGTTGTCTACTTTCATAAACGACAAAAACATTACACATTTTGCTGAACTAGAAACGACGACACGGTTGAAACAGAAGTTTAAATCAAATTGTTGTTCAGTATTTTCAGACATAATATTATGTAGACTTCCGATAGGCTATGGAATTTGAATTATTAGTCTAAAGTACAAATAGTTGAATACGTCACCGAATGTTTTCAAAGTACTATGGGTAACTGAAGTAACTCTGACTTCCTTCAAAAATCTTGAAAATATCTGACTATATTTGCGGAATGGCAATTAGTAACAAAACAATTATTATTCTCGTGTCTTGATTTTTATTTAGCTTGTGGTGCAGGGTCACCTCAGTAAGATAAAGCACTGTGCAACTTAATTAGTTAGCTAGTTAGTCTTTCCTCTTGGGCCTAGGGTTAAGGCAGAGGTCATAGCTCTCTCTATGTCTGGCAGTTTGTTGTCACCTGCTTCAGGTGAAGTCTTGTCTTGTCCATTCTGAGTGCATGGTCGATGTGCAAGTGCGCAATAATAATTCTGAATGGCAAATATGTACAATAATCGAATTAAGTAACGAGTTTATTGAATTAGTGACTTGGACAAAAACATATGGTGGTGTCTGAGAGGAGGCAAGCTATATAATGGGACAGCTAGAATAGGACAAGCAACGGAATCAGTAGAGACAGAAGATTAACATGGTCTGGAGGGAATGAGGCACCTGGGTGTAACCAGAGGGTCTGGCTGGCTCACTACACTTAGAGAAAAGGCAAGACGGACTTATAACCAGATTGTGACCGGAACCATGAGTATTGGAACTCTGCGCTGGCTACTGAAGATGAGGACGGTGTATGCATGGGAATGCCCCGAGTGCTTTGATGTCAATTCTTGACTCAGCTCAACTCAACTCAACTGGGACAGCTAGATCTATAAAACACCTCAAAACTCTGTGACATAGCCTTCGACGGGTAAGAGGCGCCATTGTAGCCTATTCTCCCTGCTGTCGTGCAAGGAATGTCTAGACAAAGACTGTTGGAGTTAAGCCATAAACGAACCAGTGGAAGCCAAGAGGAAACCACTGCTGTATTTCTCCTAGCAAATCATATCTGTAAGCTTTCTAGTCACATCATTATCATCAGCATGTGCCCTGCCAACTTGCGTAGTCGCTCCTGCATCTCCACAGATAACGATCCCTGGTTGCCTGGAACAGCCCTTTTGATAATATCCCTTCATGCCATCGTTTTAGCCCATCCAGCATAATCTCATTTGGTCTGCCTCTACCCCGCTTTCCACTGATATCCCCCCCCCCCCCCACACACCTACACAAATAATATAATTGGGTTGGTTCTGCAACGTCTTGTGAAAGCTTGGTATTTTTGTTGATATTCGTCGAATCGGTTATTTCGTAATCTCCTATCCCCAGATGACGCCACAGGACAGTCCAATATTTTAGAGGGTGGTAAAATCAGATTTTCCCGGTTGTCTGATGCTGTTAACGACCATAAAACATCTAGAACTGGCCCTAACCTTAACCCA